TATATATATATATATATATGATGGTCCTTTCCTCATATTTTCATTAATGAAAAACTTACAGGGCAGAAAGCAGCTGGTAAAGCCTGGATGCATCTGTGATATCTGAATTCATAAACAACTCCATGTATATTTACCCCAAAAAGGAAATCATGCTATCAGACTACCAGCTAGTGTAGTTGAGGCAGACAAGTAACCAAGATCGCATCTTGCTCTACCATAGCAATCTTCTCCCTTTACCCCAAAGCTGTGATTTTGTTAATAAGACTTATTTTTGCCTTTATTACAAGATGAACAGACTGTATACTAACATTTCTCCTTTGTCTCCCCAAAAATTCCAACCCAAAACACTAGTCTTGAGCAAGTGTAAATCTAGATCACTTTTCAAAGATTGGTTAGTTACAGCTATATTAAACTTTTCTACAAAACAATCAAGTATTTTCTTTCAGCTTTCAAAATCCTCCTCCAGCTACAGGAAACATAACCATTCATAACTAGTGAAAAACCCACATAATTCTCAAGTTAATTTAACTGGGATGAAAAATAATAATAAAATCTTTCCATTTTCAGGAACCAATAATAAAGCCAAAAACATTAGGTTTCGACTAAGAAAGTAGATTTTAGCTTCTAATATAGACAAAAATAGTCTTGTGTTGAAAGTAAATTGAAGGAGTTATGGAGAAAAATCCCACCCCTTAGTGCAGTGTCTGTATCAGAATGAAAGTGATTTATTTATATTACACACAAAGATTTTTATTAAAAAGGCTGGTAATGGAACATTTTATTTTAATGCATCAACTTGATAAAAGGTTAGTTACAGAAATTATGTATAATGTTGTATAAGTCACATGGATGGGTTATTTAAAAAAGGATTTGATAATTAGAGGAGATATTTCTTATTTTAGTTACATCGTAAAGTGCCTTGTGTAGTCATATTCTATTGTTGGAATGACCGCCTGTACAAATTTCAAGAAAATAAGAAGGTACCTGAGTTTCTTGTTAAGGAAAACATGCGATAGCTAGAAATCCTGTAAAACAAAGAAGTCACATTCAATGGTCTGCTCAACACTGTTTCTTGCTAATAGGAAAATAACAACTAGCAATTATAAAGTTAAGAGAGTGGGGAATTAATACAGCAGAACTCTGGTAATGACATCTCATGCTTGTCCAAACATACTTTCCTGTTTTAAGTTGAAGCAGAGAACCAGGAGTTATATTCAATAGATCTTACAAAACAGTACGCATACATTTACAATCCCACTTCCATACTTCACATTTGTTATTAACAAATGCCAAGGTGAATTACACCTAGGAAGGCTAATCCCTAGCTACCTTCCTGTAGTTGCAGGGAAAGCAGGCTCCTCTTCAGTGGCTCAGAAAAAGAATTAAGTTCCTGTTCTGAACCATCTTTTGAAATAGCTCCTTCCTGTCAGTGAGGGAAAATGGAGAGATTAGCTTTGCTAAGTTAAGAAGTCTGCCTTTTAGAGGAGGCTTTCTTAATCTCCCTTGTGTATATCACCTTCAAATGCATGTTGGGTCTGAATCTGCAGTGTGGAGTATATGGGATAATTATAAACTGAAGTGTTTGTCCACCTGGAACTGAGACACACAGTGAAGTGAAAATTAAAATAAATCACTACTTTCAACTTACAGTTCAGTTACATCGCAACTGGACATAAGTAAACCCTATTATTTTCACATGTCAGTCTCATGAACCGTTTCTTGACAAACACAAACAAGGGAAGAAACTGGCTGTTAAAAAACCCTCAGTTTGTTAAGCAAATAGCAGGAAAAGTAATCAAAAAATCTTGCAGATAAGTTATATCTAACTATTAAGGAGTAGAAGACTTGAACTACTTTGACAGAAAAGTTATTTTCCAGTTCAGTTTCAGTTGCTTGCTGCACAAATTGAGCAAGTCTCAACTCATACAGTGAAAAAGAATATTACCGGTTTGGGGCCTATAGCTGCTCGGTAATGCTCCCATGCTTGCTTTACAGCAGCAGCATTATTTTGAAAGGACACACTTCACTTTCTCCTAACATGGAGGTTTCTTTAGTCAGGAAGCATGGGATCAATTACTACAAAGCATAACCAAGATCAGTCAACTTTCAAAAGAAAATTCTAATTGTGAGGCATTTGATATTGATACTCAGAACTGTTTCAGTAAATTTTCATTGCTTTTTTGTCAGCTGAATGTTGTTATCAGGATATTGCTCACATGCAGAGTAGAGAACATTGGGACCTCTACATCTTTCAGAAATGAATCTCAGATTCAAATCTAATACAGAAGCTACTGGACCAAGAGGAGTGATTATACTCCGGCTGGAGTCTACGAACGTCCAGCTTTGTCCTCCACTGGGATCTTAGTTTCATACTCAGTTTCATACTCACAGCTCCACACCCCTAAAAACAAGGGCCCAATCACATCCCTTCAATTCCAACTGCTTTCTGCGAACTGATTAACTGAGTTTGTTTGCACAAAGGAATTAATCCCAGAACTCTAGTAAGTGCTACTACAAGCAGTTGTTTACTGCTTTCACTCACAGTTGCATTCCAGTTTAGGAACCTTGAGATAACAGCTCCTTACACTACAAGAAATCTCTGAGAATACCACATAATAATGAAAAAGGATACATGTGAACTCCGAGTTCTCCTCCACCTTCTGCAACAGTCTCAATTATTTTCTTCATGACTTCTGCATGCCTGAAAACCAGACCAGAAACAGTGAAAATATTTTAAGGAAAAAGTAAGCTCCTCTTCATCTCAGTAAGATTAGGTTTTGTGCAAATTAAATAGCTTTGGACTGTTAGCTTCAGAAGCAGCAAGAGGAACCTTTCAGTTTACTGAGGAAAAAATCCCAACAGTAACTAAAAGGTAACATTACGTGATGAATGTAAAGTTATTCACCAGCTCCTTACATTCACAAGGAAAACGAGAAATGTTCTACGCTACAATGCAGATGGAGTGCCACAGTGAGCATCAATATATACTGCTTGTCACTAGTGTTACTTTTAATTGCTCAACGCCAAAGAAGCCACCAGGTAAGTCCCTAGAAGGTAATCCTCGCCAGCAGCAAGCTATTCCAAGTACCCAAGTGACCCCTGAAGAAGATGCCTAGAAATTGCTGCAACTTATTTAGCTGCCTCTGCTGTAATCTTACATTTGTAGACCTTAGGAGGTATCAAATACTTAAACAATTTGTAGTTTCCTAGGAAAGACAGGCTGAACTAAATCTGCATAAATTCCTAACTGTTGCTCTGGGACTGACTTAGGGTATGGAAACTTTCTCTGGTGGTAACTTGGTTTCTGTGGAAGATCAACAGTTTCCAAATCAGCTTCTCCCTTGTGATTCTGTTATCGTAAAACATACAAAAATAATATTGTAAAACTGAACCATGCAAACATTTTTGTACAAAGCTGATCCTGGCAATATAACATAGAATCTTAGAACAGCTAAGGTTGGAAGAGGCTGGTCATCATCTAGTCCAATCCTCCTTGCTCAATGAGCAGTAAATTAGAATGGGTTGCTCAGAACTTTGTCTGGTCTTGAATACCTCCAGTGATGAAGCCTTTAAATCTTTTAATGACCAATTACAATTCAGAAGTAATGGTCTAGTGTTCAGGATATTTCTTATGTCCCTTAAACCAAAGGATAACCATCATATCAAATCAGAGAGGAAAACTACTGTGTGGTTAATTGATATTTTATTTACATATTTAACACAAGATCCCAAGTTGTACAACTCATCTTACTTTTCTCTACACTTCAACTTGGTTTTAAATTCATGATTCTGTAGGTAATCTTTATCAGTGACATATTAGGGCTATGATGTGATATTTATCGTATCATATGATATGATATTTATCACACCATATTAGGGCTATGGACATCAACCTATGCAACACTGCAAGCTAGTTAACAGCAGTAGTTTTAAAATACCCCTCCCAAAACAATCTATGTGTTTACTGAGAACAAGGTTGCTTTCTGACCATGCTTCGATACCATTATGCAAATTTAAATATCTGACCAGTAACTGGCATTTAGTAGTTACCTCCAAAGTTAATCATCCTGTCAGTGACTGCAAACACAAGGAAGGAAGCTGTTGCAAAGTTACCAGGACACGCTGTGAACAGGAACATGCAAATCTGGGGAAATACTAAAGGTCAGCATTTGTCATTTGCTGTGCTGTTGGTCTTTGACCCGCACAGTTGATTCCAATTCTGGATCTTCATGATGCCTCTGCAGCACACATGCCACGTATCGGGTGCCAAGGCCAGCTGCTTCTATATAGGAACCTGGACTGTCAAAACTTAAGCTTCGACCTTATCTGTAACGGTGGACTATTTTTCGTACTGGCACAGGCTACCCTACGACTATTAGAAGTCTTTAAAAGGATACTGGCTCAAATTCATGCGCCTTAATGACATTTGCTCTTTTCTGTTTTCTAAGGACTATTTACACATCTGGAATTCCATAATGGCCACAGTAATGGTCATTCTTACTGTCATACAGTTACGCATGAGAAGTTTTGCAGGTGCTTGATAAACTTTAAAATGTTTGTTTCCTGTTTCAGTTTCCTTCTCTAAGAGAATTTTGAGGAATCAATGTGAAGTATGTATACCTCCCAAAGGAAAGAAATAACTCTGGAAGAAATGTTATCTAAATTATCCTATTATCCTGCTGTCTAGAAATGTCTCTTTTATTCAGAAGTAAAAAAAAATAAAAAAAAAAAAATGTCCCCCAGAAATAACTCTTAACTTCAGATGACTAAAATGCTTGCTCCAGGACCTGTTTGTAGATTGCTTGAGCTATGAAATAGACCAGACATTTAAAACATCTACTAAAATCACCTCATTTACTTTCTGGTATAACCAACTAACTCTTGATGTAGTTCAAGTGATGTAATTGACTTCTTATTCATATTCCAAGCCAGAAATATTGCTGTTACTGAAAATAAATTAAGATGTAAAGAATTAACACCATAAATTAAGGGTTTAACAAAAAGTTGAAAGAAACTGATTTTTTAGATTGATTAGATGACCCCTTATGCTCTCATCAAGAATGTCTGCTTTCCAACTGAAGAACACCTCTCCTACTCTGCAAAAGACCAAAGTCAAAATATTTAACAACTTCACACTGGAATTCAGTACAGCTGATATACTGACATTGTCTGAATATCAGCTGGAAGGGAAATACATACCATCAGAACAGTAAAAAATAAAAGCCTTCCTGACATATGAGGGGAAAAAACCCACAACCAGCAATGATTCAGTTCTCTTGCCCCTCTCAATCCCTTGCAGTTCACAGAGATAAAAGGCCTTCCACAGGACTTTCAGTGCAGTGGATAACAACTATTGGCTTCCATAGAAGAGAGTAAAATGCAAGACTTCTTAGGATAGCATATTTTCAAGAAAAAAAATTAATACCTGTGACTTTGATTAAGTGTCTGTAACTGCTCAAACATACTAAGACAGGTGTGGAAAACCCACAAATGTCATCATCAGGCAAAACATTCAGAATCCACAATAATCAGTTAACCTTAAGATCAACAATTCGCTGATCCTTGCTGCTGCCTCTAGTCACTTCCCTGGAGATACTTAGAATCTGTAAGAACTAAAAAGAAGTCTATCACCATTTATTCTGAAATAGAGAAAAATAAGCACTTGGAATTAGTGCAAGTAATTAAAATCTAATTGAAAATGTGTTCAGTAGTTAACTAGTTTTATAGTCCCTTCATACTACCCACATAAAAAGAGTTGAGAATTGTAATTAAACCAGCTTGCAGGAATTGATGAGGAAGTTGACTGTGTTCCTCCCAGTACCATAAAAATGCTGACAGGAATTACAACTTACAGCAGAGCTGCAAGATGAACAGTTTCAACTAACTACTCAAAATAGAAGCAATCTTGAGCATCTGAGAATGGCACCCGACTGCTGTTTCTTTCCTTCCTCTGACGCATGACATAGGGATGTACACGTCACAAGAAACAACCAAGTTTAGGACCATCCAAATACCCTACATTACACAATTCTTGTAACATGCACGGAAGCAACAGCAGCAGAGCTAAGCACCGGTACCTTCTAGCTAAATTAAGAACAAACAAACATTTTGGGCTACTATTTTTCACCTCAGAAGCCCAGACCTTCTTAGCTGTTAGCCTTACCAATTTAACAGAACAGCACACCTTAGAGAGTAAGAGAACATACTTAAACTCTCCATTTTAGATACACTGTTAGTCTCTTTCTTCACAGTATCAAGATGACTTTCCAATGTTAAGCAGTTGCCAGTCAAACAGATTGCTTTTTGAGAAGGACTAGGCAGTTTCCTCCACATTTAAGACTACCAACAAGTCTATCTCATTGCAATTATCAATCACCTCTTTCAGGCTTAAAAGACTAATTGGAGCAAGTCTCATGATGCAAACCATTTCTTTAAGTGTAGATGTGGATTACATAACAAAGGCACTGGCACTTGACTGGCTTCAAGAGAAAGAAGTGAAACATGCACACGGAGCTCTTATCCATGAAGACTCTCAATCCAGATTCACAGACGAATATTAAATTGGTTCTTACTCTGCAAAGGTGTTTGCAAAATTAAACTGGTTACATTGCAGCCACAGCCCAGTATAAAATCCACAGGTCTACCTACTCAGTCATGCCCAAATACCTAGTCATCTTTGTTTCTTCTGAATGCCTTCCCAGCCTGCATCCACTACAGGAGCTTCTTCCACCTGACTTATTAGCAGGACTTCTAGCAATCACTAAATTAAGCCTTGGCTTCTGGCTTTTTTTTCCCCTCCTTTTCTTCTATAAATGATCTTCCCAGTCAGTCTGTTAAGCCTTCCTAGATTTATCCCACCTGAAACTCCTTCGAAAACACTAATTGCACAAAATGCTGCATCCATTTTTCTGCCCAAAACCATGCAGAAAGCAAACAATAAGACATTCAAAGTCACTAACAGATTTACATATTAAGACTGGTATACTAATACAAGGTACAAGAATACCTTTTAGACCAAACCAAAGGTCTACCTTGTTGACTTGAGTTAAACCTTAACCTTAAACCACGACACTTGTCCTGCTTATTGTCTTGCAGAACACGCTCAAGAAAGAGGCCAGAGCAAGCACCTAGTAATTCTTCCTCCAAAGTACTAGTTTCCAGCAATATGCAACCTAGGGACTTTCTAATTCTGAAGCATTCTAATAACTTTCCTTTTAACAATTCTCGGAAACTTTTCTTTCATTAACATCTTATTGCTCAAATAAATATTTAAACAGGTGCTGTGTGCAGAGTTTAATTCTTTTTCTGGCTTTGAACATGCCATTGGTGAGTAGCATTCAATGTCATCAGTTTATTATTTAAAAAAGAAAAAACACAACCCAAAGAGGAACACTTATTATTTCAGTTTCTGTGGCATTCATAATGAAGGTCACTGAAATTGTGATCTTTTCTAAAAGCCTTATCTAAAGCTGAAGGGTCCTAGGTTATTCAATCATTTCCTACGCAAAATAAGGATAACCTCAGTTATTCTGGACAATCCCTCTGTATCTTTTCCAATCTTAGTCTTCCCTCACCTCACAGACTACAGAATAGATGACCAGAGCTGTACTGCAGTATTCAGCATGTGGGTGGTCCCACAGATTAGTAGAGGCATTCTGCTGTTTTCTGTTCTATTCTTTTTTTTTTTCCCCCCTAACATTTTTCTAGGTTCTGCTCCCTGTACTACTCTTAAGCACTGAAACTGACATCTCCACAGGTGTGGAAATTGTATTGTATTACTGTAGACTTAAACTCCACAATTTAAAGACCAACAATAAAATTTACCACTTTCAAATTTTCTACAAGGAGTCCACTAACTGGAAAAAAAGCTATTTCCCAGTTGTACAATGGCTTCTCTGCTCAGATTGTCCAGATATAAGCCTACTTGGTGAAAGCAAAGACTGTTGTAAAGCAGTGAAGAACTATGAACTGGAAGAAACAAGAGATACACATTGACAAATTCCATGAATATACATCCTCATAAGAAGACCAAAAATAGCCATAAACTCCTTGGTGCAAAGCTCTCTTACTCTTTCTCTAAAGAATGGTACACGCTTCCCAAGATTAATCTCATGATCAAGTAATTCCTAAACCAGAAACAAGAATGTCTTGAGTCTAAAAAACCTACCACAAACTTGTCAACAAGCTGAGTATTTGACTCCTCAGCTAGTGACATGCAGAAACGTGGCAAATGCAACAGAAAAGACCCTAAAAGCACGCGTGAGTTTTGACTTGTGTTCAACAAGTATTTCAGTGTGGCAATTAGAGGACCTCTATCTGTATAAAATTTCAAGGACATCTTGGGGAGCAGGAGGCAGATATTACAAAAATAAAAAAAGAGGTATTTCATGTTCAAATATCTTTTTCTGCTCCCAAAGTATACATTACATTTTTACTCTCCCAAAAATAGCAGCAAATAAAGTATAGGAGAACTTCCTTTTACAGAGCTCTAGTAGTCTGCCATCTTCTGGAGTCCATAGGGAAGTGAAGGAAAAGCAAGTTGAGCAAGGGGAGACAGCTGTGACTGCAGAATATGCTTGCAGCCGTTAGCACTGGCATGACTCCAGAGAATCACTGAGATCTTCCTTTCATACTGCCTCAGAGCTGACACACCACCACAGGAGCCAACTGTGGAAATGTCCAGAAAACCTGAACCAAATCCATAACAAGACCAGTGCAGTGCCTTGTATCTACATACTGAATCAGACCTGAAACAAAGACTCACCTGCATGGATGAACTGAGCACATGGGAGGCGGAGGAAGATGTGGATGGTTTTCAATGGTTACCGTTTTCTTGACATGATCTTGACTAATATCTTCATACATATGCTCTACTGTTAAAGGCTGCCGCTGCTATACAGGAAAAAGGAACATGAGAACAGAACCATCACTAACAAAGAATCTTTTGTTCCTTCATTAAAAGATGAAGCACCATAAATTATAAGCATCTAATATAAAACAGGTCTGAAGGAAAGAACAAAGTGTCTTAAGATCCATATGGTGTAGAAATAGTACTCCATAAAATTTAGTTTTTAATAAACCATATGAATGGTAAAGTCAATATATTTTGAGAACCATCTCAATGGTTCTCACCTAGGTTCCCATCTAGGTATTTGAGCTGTAAGCCCTAACCAACTTTAACTCAAGAAACTTAGCCATGAAAGTGAGAGTGATTTATCTAATCCTCTTCCTCTGAAAATCATGAAAACATGTACCTACTTACTTGACTGAGTTTACTAGGGCTATTACTAGCTCTATAGAGCTAATTAACTCAAATAACAGAGCATGATTTGCTTCCTTCCAAATATGTTGGGTTACTAAGTACAATTTTCGGTGAAATTGTTCCTACTTCCTGCAAGGATGCTAAGTCCTGTCTGCAAACCTGACTATATAATGATTTTATCACCATTTTTTCATTTCAATTTTTACTGTGAGTAAGCAAAAAACATATCCTTGCTATTTGATACCATAAGTCTAATTTTACAGAAGTGGGAAAATGAGCTATACCTCATCATATCCAAATAACCAGAGTCTTGGAGTTTGGTAGTATTTGTCGTAAGTGATGTACAGGTCGTAAGTTCTAGTCTGTAGAATAGCATCTTCCCCTCCAACATCAACTTTGGCCTTGTTAGTTTCTACAATCTGTCTTGTGTCAAGCGTTGCCTGATTCAAGGTAAAAATGACAACATTAGTATAGTCTTGTTTGGATTTAACTACATAAGTACTTATGTAAAGCTCTAAAACAGAAATCAATGTTCTTAAGTCAGCATTTAAAAAACATAGGCTTTTGGGTTTTATTTTTATCTCTAAATTCGTTGTATCAGTTTCTCTCCCACCAAATGCTTTTTGGTTTTGGTGAGTTTTTTTAATTAAAAAAAAAAAAAGTCCAATCTGCAACTACAAATGCAATTACATTGTCACATCCCCCTTCCTTCTTTCACCAATAATTTTTGAACCCAACAGACAATTCCAATAAAATTCAGAAGGTAGAGGTCTCAGTTTATGTATTTATGAAGACCTTAGTGGAATACCACAAATAATGACACCCTTTTTTTCCTCTCATGACAGTCTGATGCATCAGCATAATCTATTGAACCTGTAAGCCACTCATCCTCCACACATAAGCCTCAAGAACAATAGCGCATTTTTACCCCTTGTGAGTACAGCACTGTGTGTAAGCAGAGTGAAAAGGATCAGCAAAAACCCACAGAATTACTGTGATCTAAATCTTTGAAGACTTAGGACTGCAGTAGGATGGCAGGAGACAAATCCATAGGAAACCAAGCTCAGTAATCCCACTGCTCATAACAAGCTTGTTACGTAATCCATTTGTTACTATCAGTTTTACTTTGCTTGTGCTCATATTGGTAATAAGCATTGTAACAGACAAGATAGAGAACTGTTCACTCACATCGTCTGTCTCCAATAGCCCACTCTCTTCATACTCTGAAAAGAAGACCCATAAAATTCTGTGTTCAGCTTGTAGCTAGTCATCATATTTCTCATTCATAAACAACTCCTTTAAAACATTCTACACATATCTAATAGTATTTAATTCAGGTAAACTTCTGAGTCCCCAAACCAGACTATACCTTTTTTAATACAAATTTGATCAAGACTACAGTAAGTACATGATGAGCAATCCTCAAGTGGTTTTAAGTAGGCAGACTGCAGTTAAGTGTAGGTATGAAGCGGAAAGGAAGCTGTGCTAAATCTGTAATTTACACTTGCTTGGATCTGTTCCAGTACTCAAATTAATTTCCCAGTCAATAACATTCACACAGGTTTCGGCACACAAGTTAAGACTAAACATGCATCAATAATACCATATAAAAGATGATAAAGAGCATGTGTCTGGTGAATTTTTCAGCACGCATTCCATGAAAACAAAGTGTAGTGTTTTCTTAGAGTGTACTGCTTTAGTTAAAGGCCCGAAATAAATCGTGTCCCACCCAATTCAAGGAAATACCTTCCATGTCTGCAGCTTCTCCTTCATCTTCCTCATCATCATCTTCACAAGATGCTGAACGATCTGGTATTTTTATATTTTCCTTTATAAGTTAAATTTAAAACACTGCTTTAATGACACTGCATCTACACAGCCTTACAGCTGCAGCACATACAGTGAACCAGAAAAATAATTTCTGCCATATTAAAGACTATACTGAACTCAAATATTTGCTTATTAACCAATCTTAGTTTCAAAGTCCTAGTATGACATTAAAAATCCACTTTAAAAGTTCTCCTTTGACTTTGCAATCTGGAATGATTTAATTGCTAACAAAAGAAAAATAAACATGGGATTAAACAGCCTGTAACTGCTTTTCAAAAACCCACCTATCTCAAATGAAAGGCAATGACTAAACAGCTATGACTAATATACAGGTTAAAATTCTGTATGTCCTAACCCAAGCCCTCTACTAAATTTTTCTTTTGGGGACTGTGGGCCTACGCACAGCATTTGAACCCAAGAGACAAGCCTAGTGAAATTCAGAAGGGAGAGGTCTCAATTTGCACAGGTTTCATGAAAGCTGCTCCAATTGTAAGCATCAAGTGGCAGGTTTCCTGATTAGAAAACCAAAACACCAAAATCAGTAAGAAACTAAGTTGTGAAATGCTTTAGCAAATAGAACATAAGCAGAGTTGTCTTTCTGGACTGGACCTGTGATCCAAGCTGTACAACAAGCAAGTTTTTCTACATACAATATATTAGAAGTGAAATCCAATTCATAACACACAACAGCAGTTATGAATCACAATGACATCCTGCAAATGCTGTGTTTCGCAGAAATGGTGATCACCTTTAGGTATTCCTTACAGTGTTCCTTCCACCCAGATGTTACTGATTCGTGAAAAAGCAGTACTTTCATTTTCAGTTTGTAAAAGTCTGGCACAAGAGCATGCTGGCTAAAGGCATTCTGAAAAGAACACTGCCTCAGTAAACATCTCAGAAGGAGATGCATGTGCTTTGACTAATATCATGGGTTGCAAAAGTCACCATATATCTGCAACACATCTAGTGACAAAGTATAATTTAATCTTTCATGGGTAGTATTAGATTGCTGCAGGTAAGACTTCTATTACCTCTAATAAAGCAAGAGGAAAATTTAGAACCAAGTACCTTACTGTCTAGTGTGATCTCCTTAACTGCTTCTGTTGCACCCACTATACCTGTTAATTGAACAAGAGGTTTGTGTTAAAAAACCTTGCTTCTTTGTTACAAAATAGTATAGAAAAAGGCTGCCAAGACTTCAGAAAGCAGCATATGATCTTTCCAAGTTATATCTCACAACAACTTTGATATTTGAAAGACTTATTTGGTACTGGTAGCATGCTTGGCGCTGGACATGCATAAACAAACCATACCAGTAACATGGAGCACAGTAGCACAGTTCTCACACATCATACAAGTTTTGTTGATGGAACACTGCAAAGTAATTTTCATTTTCATTTTAATGAATTTTCATAGAAGTGAGTTCAGGATAGGCATTCACATCACAATAACAGAACTCAACTTCATGAGCAAGGCATGCATTTATGAGTATTTCTGAACATCTTGAAAGCAAGGTGTTCATGACAAAGCGTAATGAAGCAGAACACGATGCTTTCAGCTGAGAGGAATTGAGGTTAAAAAACATCTCAAATCATAGTATCAGCTCTTGAGTTCCTCCCTATTAGCCTTCTAGTTCTACTGCTGCTTTCACCTAGTACTGTTTGGGATACATAAGAAGATTCTGCTCTGACACAGTACATTCATTTAATTAACTCTTCAGCTGAAAATAAGTTACATCATTATGGAGAATGAACCTGGAATCAAGTCACTGATCAGCAGAAACATCTATCTAAAGAAAAGCAATGCCAGCTGAACTCTATTTAGAAACAATGCGTTTCTTGTGGCTGTGTGTTCATTTGTGTATGGTTTTCCCATGAGAAAAAGTGGTGTTATAAAGGACACATATACAGATGGGTGGAAACAGACTTTTTTTTCATCTCCTTTGACTGTTTGGAGACCTGATCAAGTCTAGTCAGTGTTACGGTTGTGCTGCTACAGGATGGTGCCCAAACCAGTCAAGCCTGAAAATAAAAACTTGGTAAAAGAGTCTATCCACAGCAGAGATGGAGAACGCACTCTTAATCCAAGGATATGACAAAGCTATGCCAAATGATTTCTCTGCTGTGGGGTGTTCAATTATGAACTGTGATACATTTAAGAATTGCCAGTATTGAAAAATGTACAGCAACAGAAACAAAAGGCATCTTCTCCCACTCTTCTCCCCAGCCTGGCTGAACTATTTAAAGAACATCCACATCCTAGCCAAAAAAAAAAAAAAAAAAAAAATGAAAAAAAACCACTAAAGAAAGTAAAAAACTGAGTGGAGTACTTTCTAGGCTTGGAAACGGCAGAGAATACTTGAAGACAATTTCATTAACTTATGATAGAACATCAAGAAACAGACTAAAACTAATAAAATTGCCAATTCTGTGAAAATAACAAAAGGATTTATAAGAGGCTGTACTAGAAAAGCTAATGAGATATTCGTGTAAACAGTAATTTTCAGACTTTTTTATAAACACAAGCTCATCTAAGGACTTAATGTAAAAAAGGATCCTCTCCGACACTCATCTCTGTACTTAATATTTTCTTTCTTTTTGGTGCCCCACCCACCCCTTCTGCAGTGACCTCACACACTGAGATAACAGCCATTTTCTAATGTTTCCCCCTTTTAGCTCAATCCAACAATTCAACAGAATGAGAAACACTGAAACAATTAAGTCATTTGAGGTCATCATTAAGATAAAGATCTTAATGTGTTTCACATAAAATCTAACTGAAAAAAAAAAAAAAGGAGACATTTGCATATTCTTCAAACAAATAATTTAAACTAGCATTCTCTTCACAGGATCTCCTTACAAAGGAATGAGCCACTACACAGGTCATTTATAAGAGAATATTGAGCAGTCATGTACCAATCATGAGTGGGTGGCTGGCAGCGTAACATATGCAAGAAAGATTTAACTTTCTAATAATGGAAACTGAAAATCCTTCAGATTACCAAATGCAAAGTCTGAAGCAAGGCTGAATACCTGCATTGTGAAAAGTGTCTACCCATCCACCATCACCATCATCTTCTTCTATAATTGCTTCCTGCTCATCCGAGTACTCCATCTGCTTACACCTTTTGTAACACGGCACTGCAAAAAATTGCAAAACAAAATGAATGCAGTCATTCCTATACAAAACCAGGATAAGAAAGTAAGAAATTATCCTACAGGGCCTTCTGAAATGTGGTAGTCTCTCATACATCCTTATTTAAGGAATCCTAAAGTTATATTTCAAAAGCAAAAGCATGAACTTAAAATTATGTTGATGTGCTGCACCACATTTTATTTCACATATAGTACAACACTTGCTGTGGCCTTACAAGTTCATTCTTCTGTAACCCATTAGAGCATTTTCATCCAAACTCTTAGAACTAGAAAATAATTAACTTCTCATTTGCTAACAACTGGGAACAACTTACTAGTTTTCTTCATATTGCTAAGCAACTTTTATCTCAAGCATAATTTTGCCTGGATTAGCATGGGTTTACTGAACTGATTTGTCTTTAGAATTCTGCTCAAAGCTTGCAACAGCTATTTATATTAGGTATGTTTAATTACAAATTAACACCTACAAGTTTTGAAAAGGTTAGAATTAATGTGATATTCTAAATAACTTCAGTCATATGTATTACAGAGCTATTTGAGTACAGATTTATACAAAGTTTTTCGAAAACAGTCAAAGAGAGAATGTGGATCTAATTAAGACAAAACAGACATTTTTCATCATCGTAAACAAGGACCATGTAAAAATGCTTCTATTATACTAAT